GATAAGATTTTGACAGGTACTGATGAAAAGGTGATTAAAAAACTGTATGGATATTTATTAGAAATTAAATTAGAAGAAGAACAAGTTAAAGAAACTATGATTGCTTGGGGGAAGAATTTTGGATATGGGATCGATTTAGAGAAATGGCAAAAATTGTGGTCTCAAAATTATAAAATGACAATGTCAACAGCATATAAAGAAAATTTGTATAAGATGTTTTACAGGTGGCATTTTCCCCCGACAAGAATAGCAAGAATGTTCAAGGATAAATCCGAAAAATGTTGGAAATGTCATCAGACACCTGGCTTATATTACCATATGTGGTGGACTTGTGCGGATGCTAAAAAATACTGGACTAAAATCCACATGTGGTTGGAAAAAATGACAAAAAAACATATAGACTTGAAACCAGAGATATTTTTATTGGGAATTTTACCTGAAATATATAGTAAAGTCTTGAAATACCTGATTGTAAACGTATTAACAGCGGCTAGGATTGTATTTGCTAAAAACTGGAAAAATGAGAAAATACCATCACAGGAGGAAATCATTATGAAAATATTGGAATGTGCTGAAATGAGTAGATTTGACATTTGAAATTAGAGAACAAGAGGATAAACAATTTTATAAAATTTGGGATCTTTTCTATCAATGGTTAGATAATAATATACAGTAATGAAATACGTAGACTTTTAGAAAATAATAAATATATAAAGATGTACTTCTTTCTTATTATATCTACAAAATGATTTTAGGATAAATTTGGGATGATAGTATGAACTGTTATAAAATAAACTAAGTAAATTATGATTATCTTGTAAAACATGAATGAATAAAAGTATAGTCAAATGATTGATTAATAATGATACTAAGGTATTTAATTTTTGATTGAAAATATGAGATTATATGCAATGTAATTGTAATTGAAGACTACGAAATGGAAGCACAAAACAATTTGTAAACCAACCGACACACTGTATGTACACATATGGAAGATAGCTTGATGTTTTTATGTTTTGTTTGTTTATGTTTGTTTTTAAAAACCAATAAAAATTAAAAAAAACGGGGGGGCATGATGACAAAAACATTGGGAACCATTGGCATAGGTCATCTCTAGCCATCTGTAAAGTTACCATTCAAATGTACAAAGGCACTGAAAAAAGTGACTTAGGACCATTTTTCACACTTACTACCTTTGTAACATCCCCATGATCATGTGATCAAAATTCAGATGCTTGGCAAGTGGCTCATACTTATGACCATTGCTGTTTCCCAAGATCATCTGCTCACCTTTTGCAATCTTTTGACAAGCAAAATCAACGGGGAAGCCAGATTCACTTAACAGCCATGTTACCAACTTATCAACTGCAGTGATTCACTTAGCAACTGTGGCAAGAAAGGTCGTAACCAGGGGTGGGATTCTACCAGCTTGCACCTATTTGGTAGAACCGGTTGTTAACATTCTAAGCAGTTCGGAGAACCGGTTGTTAGAAGAAATTACTGGGCTAATCCTGTATGGAAGGCAGGAAGGAAACATTCTGGTGTTGCTTACAGAAACTGCCTCTCCGTTAACCCTTATTACATTCTTGGCAGGACTAGACTTCCTGTCTCAGGAACTTCTCTGGAGTTTTTTTTCCCCTCCTTTGCTTTGCTTGTGTGGAGTGACCATTCAAAGTTACAGTGGCACTGAAAAAGGTGACATGACCGTTTTTCACACTTACGACTGTTGCAGCATCCCTATAGTCATGAGAGGCCAGGCGAGGAGATGCATGCCTCGATGTGAGTGATATTGAGTTCGCCACACCCAGCCAATAACATGACCACCAAGCCACATCCACCAAGTCACATGACCACCAAGCCACGCCCACCAACTAAGCCACGCCCACAGAACTGGTTGTTAAAAAATTTGAATCCCACCCCTGGTCGTAACATAGGGCAAAATTCACTTAACAAATGTCTCACTTAACAACAGACAGTTTGGGCTCAATTGTGGTCGTAAGTCAAGGACTACCTGTACGTTATGACCGCACCAAGAAGAGTGCCAAGTCAACAATTTCCCATATGCCTTTTCTAACTGTTAGCAAAGCTAAGTTAGTAGAATTGCATCCCAAGGACAAAACCTGTTCCTCCAACACAAAATGCATTCTTTTCCCCCATAGGATGGTGTATATGTGGGTCTACAAAGATACCAGTGCTAATCTCTCCAGGGAAATGGCAGTCTTCTCTGCCTCTTATATAACAAAAGTAAGTGGCTGAGTCACTCTGGGTGTCATATCACAGATGTGTGAGACCTTGCACACAACTTGTATATTGCTGTCTGGCTTTGGTGACATTCTATCCCACTTTTAAGCCAAAATTGCTACTCAATAGGAGCTTAAAGCCCAGCATCACAACAAAAATGTGACCCGCAATGGAGGAAAAACAAGGTTAGTGCTGTGATAATAAAGGTTCTGCTCTACAAAAAAAATAAAAATTAAATCTTTCATCACTCCTCCATAACAACCTCTTCTCAACTCTATTCTCACATACAAGGTTAATTAAATCTATGTCATCAATTTAAATAAACCCTGGATTAAAGTAAATCAATAAGGATTTTGTTCTGTCTCCAGTGCCTTCAACTTGGCCCAGGCTTGTGAAGAATGTTCACCTAGAAAGGGATGCCAAGAACACTATAATTTTTGCCCTTTGTCTTGTTTTAAGCTTTTGGTGAATCCTAACTAAGAGTTGTGGCTGGTCGGAGATTGGATGACTGTAATAGAGTAGATGTCCTGAATCATAGTTAATCACCCCTTACTGCGCAGGAAAACCAGTTTTCAATCATTTGTTTCAGTGGTCCTGTAGGAAGTTAGCACCCACACCTCTTCTAGAAAATTGAAATATCCTAGGAAATATTAAAAAGGCAGAATATTTTCTCTAAAAAGAGTAGAAACTCTGAAGCAGAAACTTACCTCAGAAGTAGAAGCTCACCCCCACCTTTTTTAATGGGTGGGACATTAAGGCCTGGGCCAGAATACTTTACATAACAAAGATCTCCAGGTAAAGCTATAGCAATTGCTCAAAAGCCTTTTCAGGGCATCATCATCATCCAGCAAGGCTCAACCAAGCCTGGAACTCAGGACAACCTACAGAGTTGCCCCTGCATGGCCTCATGGGAGTCTGACAACCAATCAGAATACAAGCTCCAATTCAAATCCCAACAAAGGTTATAAAACTCAGACACTCTCAGCAGCTCAGCCCTTCTTGACCTTCTCTTCTCACCTTGAAGTATTTGGTCATCCTTCCTTTTCACTTTGGAGCTCCAAGCCATGTGGTCCTGCTGTCCACCATTAAACCATCTTTCCAAACAGCCTCCATGTTTCCAGTGTCTTTTCCCCCACTTGGAACTGAACCCAGAAGGATTTTTCTACCAACAGTCTGGTCAAATATTTCCTCCATTGCTAGCCACTGAAATTCAGAAGTATCCTTTTTCTAATTCAGAAGGATTAATATAGCATATAAATGCTGATCAATGTTATAGTGTAAAAGTACTCTGTTATTAGCAGTATCATATATAAGTAGCACACAAATCTGGATATTATCTAGTGCTTGTTGTCCTAATATCATTGACTATTTATTTCTGAATAATTTATTTACAGTTTAAATTACTCAGTTTCCAAGAGATCAGAATGATTAAAATGAAGAATTGAAGCAACCAGAATACCAGATGTTTGTATGCCTTTATTTATACATTTTTGAACTGTCAATCTCCCTCCGAGAATGCATTTCAACTCCCAGAATTCCCTTGGTGGCATGGGATTCTGGGATCCCATCTTAATTCCCTGAGTTCTGGGAGTTAAATTCACACAACTTAATGATTGCAAAAATGAGAAACACTGGGTTATTTTATAGCTTTGAAAAGAGTGTGCAATAAATCCATGGAAAGAGCCTCCATAGTTAAGAGAATGATTGTACTGTATTAACATATAACTGCTCAGGTAGGTTAGTTTGTTCTAAGTTTGTTAAACAAGCCATGGTAACCTGGGTTGATAGGAGAGTCTTTGAAAAAATCTTGAAAGTATACAAATATCTTAGTGTTCTTCTGAATCCATTTCATAGCCAGAGTTTAACATTGGTTAGGGGTTCATCCTTAGCTTGGTGCAAACTACTTGTTGGCTTGTTGGCTCATCTAATTATTCTCAATCTTAAGAACTTGAAGATATGTGGATTTCAACTCCCAGAATTCCCCAACCAGCATAGATAATGAATGACTTGGGAATTCTGGGAGTTGAAGTCCACACATTTTCAAGCTGCCAAGGTTAAGAAACACTGAACTTAAGACTAAGCTGCTGAAGATGGTGCAAATGGAGAAAGTATCCCAAAAAATAAACAAATCCACGCACCAATTTAAAGCTATTGGATAAATGCAGCTACTGAGGAATAGGAAAGAGACATGTGAAGGGGAATTTTTTAAAGAGAATAAAGTCCCCCTAATAAGAAAGGACAACTAGAGAGAACGGAGACAGACAGCTTCGCTCTTTAAACAATTTTGGATAAACGCTCTGAGCATGCGTGACACAGCCCGCTTACTTGCCTGCTAAGTGTGAAGGGGGAAATGAGAAGAACCGCCGCGCAAGCGTAGAAAGAACTACTCGGCCCATAGAGATAGGGAGGAAAAAAGTCCGTTGTGCGCCTGCTTCAAGGAGTTGCGACGAAGCCAAGGAAAGTACCGCGCGTGCGTCAAAGTGCCTCGCCTCCAGGTTGGCTTCGCAAGTCGCGACTCTGCCCTCCTTCCACCTCCCTTTCCCTAGTCTGCCTGTTCTTACGCCTGCGCAGTTCGGGCCGGGTTTTTTTTGTTGGCTCGGGCAGCGCACGCGCAGATTTTCAGAAGTCCTAGCCTTTCAGGCGCTCACTTCGGCCTCGTCTCTCTCCTGGCGCGCCTGCGCAGTTGGCGCCGCCTGGTTGGTGGTGGTGTCTGGAGCCCGGTGGGAGGGGGGAATCAGGGGGTGGGGGGGGGGGGGGGGGGGGAGGAGGGATGCGGACGGGGGAAGATGGCGGCAGCGTCGTCGAACAACCCGCGGAAATTCAGCGAGAAGATCGCGCTGCACAACCAGAAGCAGGCCGAGGAGACGGCGGCTTTCGAGGAGGTCATGAAAGACCTCAGCCTGACGCGCGCCCACCGGGTGAGGAGGACCCGTCGGAGGAAGGGAAGGATGGAGAGCGGGAGGGACCGCTGGACTGACGCGCTGCCCGAGTCCCCTCAGAAAGGACGGGGGGGGGGGGGTGCATCGAATTGCGCCCCTCTTCCCTGGGGGGCTTGGGGAGGGGGCCGTTTTTTAAAATTTCCTGAGGGGAGGTCGGGGGGGTGTCTAGGGGCACCCTCTTTTTTTCCTTTTCCCCGAGAAAAGGGGAGGTGTTTAAAGACCACCCCCTCAATTTGGGGTGGGGGGGTGAGAGAAGGGGATTAAAATAAGTGTGGCGTGGGAGACGCCGGATCGGCATCCTTTCCCCCCCCCTCACCGAGTGGGTGTGGGGGGGGGAGAGAGAGAACTGAGGGGGGAGCCCGTCGTTTCAAGTTGAGGGGGGGCAATTAAAAGGGGGGGGCTGACGCCCCCTGATTAGGGATGAAGCTGGGAATCAAAACAAAAAAAACAACACCCACCCTGTTTTAGGAAAAAGGGAGAAGTTAAGCCCCCGGTTACAAAAAAAAAAATCCCGTCAATGTTGTGATTATTATTATCCTTATAAGTAATGGCTTATGTTATTTGCCAACGGGCCTTAGTATTTGTGATCGGAAAGGCAGGAGGATGTCGTTTAATACGTGTAAAAAATGCTGCATGCATTCTCTCCCCTTGCAAAAGGAATTGGAATTAAAAGACATTGAAATTAAAAGGTGCAGACTTTGGGTGAGAGATGGAGTGCAAAGATGGGTAGACTAAAGAAAGGAGGTCAAGGGGGATGAAATGACCTACCTGTATGCTTATCTTGGTACAAGGATGGAAATTGTGCTTTCTCAATCTATCATGGAGTTATTAAAAGATGGATGAAGGATAGACAGACAGACAGACAGCTTGGAAGGTGAGTGGGTCAGGAGAAGGAATCTTAATTCCTTTCTGCTTCAAGTGAGGGATACTGGATTAATAAGAATAGGGGTGGGGGAGCATGGGAGTGGAGTTAACCCCTCCAAAACAGAAGGGATCATAACACCTTTGTCTTTCTTTTATTAAATATCATAGGAATAAAAGAGAATGAGTGGATTTTGATGAAAGAGGTCATAATGACGAACTACTCTTTCCTCAAGGGATGGGCCAAATTAAATTAATATTTCAGATATCTAATCATATAGCAGGACTGTTTTACTATTATCCTTCCTACTCTTATTGGTATCTTATTACTATCACTTTGTTGGTTGTATCTTATGATTTATGATTGTATCTTATGATTTATCATTTTGTTTGCTTGTATGTGTATGCATACTGATAGCTTGTGCACCGGAGACAAATTCCTTGTGTGTCCAATCACACTTGGCCAATAAAGAATATTTTGTATAATGGCAAATATGGGGAAGAGGTTAGCAGTGCCTATAATTTTAGGCAGATAGTCCCTGCTCAATGTATAGATAATAATTTATACATCTTCTTTATAAATATATGAAGAAGTTATAGAGTAAATCCCCTCCAAATGTAAGGGAAGGAAATAATAGCAACTCTCTTCCCAATTTATGGGCAGGGAATTGAAGAGTCTTGTGTATATTGGGAGGAGTGTTTAATTAAAACATTCAAGACGTTGTAATTACATCTCATGTTGTTATGTTTGTAGTGAGGAGGTTCATAGCTCCCATTCTCTTATTTGTATAAAAGACAGGGCAGTATTGAGGGATAAAGCAGTATTGTGTATTTGTGGAAATGGAACTGGGAAGGAAATTAATTAGCCCTTAATTTATGCATAAGGGAATCAATTCATTCTCCCTGTGTGCGTTTAGGAGCAAATTAAGAAAAGGGGGTTAAAAATCTTTTCCTGGATAAAAGAGAAATGTGAAAATGAAGGCAATGCAAAATTAGAAAATGCTTACATCCTGTGTGTGAATTGTTGAAAGGATGACTTCTATCCATCTTTCCTTTTAGATGGTATATATTTTCCTATAGGAAATTGTGAGGGCATTGTGAGAAGAGGCTCTCTTTCAATTTGTTTAAGCAACTGCTTAATGTTAGATGAGCAGGGAGAATTACAAGGAAATTCCAATCTATAGTATGGAATATTTATTCATTTAAGGAAACAGGTATCCAGTCTTTAAGAATCTGTTACTGGGTTTTGTAATGTGGGTCAGTGTGATCAAGTATCACAATACACTTAATGAAGTATGAATTGTCATCAAGACACTGCTGTTACATCAGGGAGAATCATTCTTTTCCATGCTAGAATGCAATTAATGCTCTCCTGCTTGGGTGGAGTATCTGGATTTGAACAAATAGAAAATATCTTTCCCTTGTATTATGTCTGTCTCTGGCTGGAAATATATGAGATCAAGGATATTTAATATCCACTTGCTCTTACTGAAAAAGAAAACGTTGGAGAAAATAATTTTATTTCCTATCCTTGCAGAGTTGTGTAATTGTGAAAATCAGAGAGATCAAGATAGGGCTTCTATCATTTTAGTGTATCTTATCTATTCAACAAAGCACTTTAAACAGTTGATTCCTTAGGAGTTGGTTTGGGTATTAGCTTATGTAGATTGCTTTATAACTACCCCAGGAATTTGCAATGTGTGTTGTAGCTATATTAGTAATAAAATGTTACTAGAACTTTGAATTGTGGTACACAGCTCTTTTCTGAAGTCACTGTTCTTTCAGTGAGAAAAATTGGCTTTGTGTTGAAATTAAGTTATTAACTAAAGGGGAATGTTACATTTTCTAAATGAAATATCAACAGAATGATTAGCTATCATCTTCTAAGAAATGACTTTAACGATGGGAGAATGTCTGTTGCAATGCAGTTAGATGCTTATAAATGTCATAATTAGAAATATTACAGTGGGACAAAATGAACCTTCTTAAAATGCTGGTTGTCATCTAAAAAATTCTACATGGCCCAGTTACTTGGGAGACTGCCTGTTTCTCATAGGATGTGCCCAACCATTTTGTTCTTGCAGGGTGGGCACACTCCATAAACAGTTTTGTCTACTGGGATTCCAGAATCACACATTATTTGCAGTACTTTTGCATTCCCCCAGCCATCTGAATAGCCCCCAGAAGAGAAAATTCAGAGATTATTGTTGAGGAGAATGAATACCTGGTTCCTCACACAGCCAAGGAAGGTGAACATCTTTGTTTCACTCCGTCTGGTCTGTCCTTTCCACCTTTTCTCTTTTACTGATTTTATATGTCTTTATTTCTTTGTTGTGAGCTGTCCAGGGTCATTAAGTGGGGTCATTAAGATAAGTTTAATAAATTATTTTATTTTACAAATGCAACTTTATTTAATCAATTTGTATAAGAGCCCATCTCAGCCAAGTGATTGAATGGCTTAAATTCTAAAACTATAAAAGTTAAAATAATTAAAAACAATAAAAATCATTCAAGAAATAGAATTCTTTATTGGCCAACTGTGATTGGACACACAAGGAATTTGAAGTGATGGGATTTGCAGCATGTCCACAAAGAGTTAACAATGGAAATAATTTAACCAATGACTTTGTTTCAGAAAATGGATGGGATGAGCATAACAGGATTTTACTTTTGCTATTATCAAGTTATAGCCTGCTATCCCATGAAAAGGTCACCAACACTGTGCAGCATTTTTTTGAAATAATATAAAAAAGGTGCTTCAAGGTATATCGGAGGTGTGAACATAGCATCTGTCTGCAACACTTTGAAATAGCAGTATCTTTTCTTCGGTTTGTGTTGTTTTCTGCAGCTGCCATGTGACCTTAGGAAAGATAGATCAGCTAAGAATTGTGAACCCATGCCTCTAGACACCTTTTTGGAATTAAATTGAAGGCTCTGCATGGCTGCACTCATCAGTATCTCCTGTTTGGCAAAGAAAAATATTTCTACCAATGTTTGTTTTTAATGGTTATTGTGGTTATTATAATTGTATGTCAACCAAAAGGAAACATATTTATAATAAATGAATACATATGGTCTAATTTTTGGTGGAGCCACATTGTGTGCTTACAGTGAAGATTCATGCTGGTAAGGGCCATCCTGTAAGTTCTTCCCACATATTAAAGATTACAGCCATAAAAGTTCCTTCAGAGTTGAGATAAAAATATTTGATTTTTTCCCTTGTAAGAGAAGTGGGATGATCAGCTTGTAAATGCCAGCAGGATATTTGGGATCCTAGTTAGTGTAAAGACATCTAATTTATTAGGGGCACCTCAGAAGAAGGCACTAAGAATGAAGTAATTTGGAATGTGGTATAAATTACATTACAAATTGGAACAGTAGATCAAAGCACACTCTTCCCTGTTGAGTGTGTGTGTTTTCCCATTTATGGATCTTTTATTGTAGTAACTTCTTGCAGCCTTAAGTCTTTATATAGAATAAATTCCTTTATATATAAAGTCATTTCCACATTTTGGTTAAATTCTTAATACTGATATTTCAATACAAATGCTATATTGTATTATCATGTGTCAGAATATAAGTATTAGAAAAGCTCTGGGCCAGAAGTAAGGCAACACAGATTTAAAATATCCACCTGATTATGAAGCTTGCTGGGTGATTTTGGGCCATCTCTAATTTATCTTACAGGGCTGATATAAGATTCCCCCCCCCCTTGTAAATTTGGGCTAAAACTATATATGTTACTTTGGATTTCTGAAGGAAAATAAGGATATGCATTTGAAAAATCAAATAAGACCCATGATAGGGAATTCCAGTTGTATCCCATAGTATCTGACAACAAATTAATATCTAGCTACACAGTATGAGCTATTTGAACCAGTCTGGACTCTGCATTTCTTGTTACCTTCACACTGGTGTTCATTGTTGCAGAAGAACAGATGTAGTTGATATAGAGAATTAAACAGGACGTGCTGTGGGGTGTAGGAGACATTTATTGGGCTATATTGATGGTAGTGGTTTATAGAGGGCTGATGAAAGTGATGTAGCTCTGTGCTCTGCTGTTTAATGTGCCCTTTTCTATGAGTTCTTAATGTCATTGACAACATAGTTAAATCAGT